CGACACGCACTGAAGGCTAAGATCTTGTTATCCGTTTTGTCGCTCTTCAGCTCCATTTTGACCAAACATTTCAGTGATATCTTCACACTTTGGCCCAGAAGTGCAGACACACTCTCTGTCACATGGGTGAAGATTGACATCAATTAACACATTACTCATCAATCAATGCATTCATACAGTAATCAGTGATTACTAATCACTCATTTGTCGAGCATTTCATTCAAATGATTATCAAATTGATGTCAAAATAAGTCTACATTTAATAGTATTGTTTGAGTCTATGTTCAATTCAAAGGCATTAATTGTCTGTTAATTAAAGACTAATTAAGTGTTTATTTGTCAAACAATACAAATACAGTGTAATAGTAGTAGTAATGAGCAAATAATTATTTCCTTTAATTAAAAAGTGGAAACAAATGCAACCAAACGTATAATGAAATGTGAAAACTTAACGATTTATGCAAAAGTTGTCTCATTTAGGCATATCATAGCAGATATTGTATTCAATTAATGGTTATTCAGTTTGGGTTTGACTTTTCAAACAACTAATACGGAAACTAAATACTGTATTATATGGTATATAATATACATGCATATAGCTATTACACACTCAATACAATTGTCGCTATCATTACCACACATACAGTGGACACCAGACAACACTTACCACTCAGTTCTTTAGTGAGGGATCCCTTGACAGACATTTTGGCCGACACTGTGGTTGTGGTGATGTCTTCAAAGCAATTCAATGGTGTATTCAATTAAATGTCAATTAAATGCATACATATGTAGTGCGAGATTGACTCTCGACTACAGCAACACAAACACTAAACACTTTAACAGTAAATATCAATACAAATACAAATACATTGCATTTGCCTTCACTCCAACCCATAGACAAACCAGTTTCACATCCCCTCCCACTCGCGACACTACAGTCAACACTCGCTATACAGACACCACTTCCCACGAGTCATCATTTGTCACAATCACATCCTGTTTCACCAATATTATCACTAACTGACCATTGAATCACACGTAATGCTAAAACATAATACTTAATTGAGATTAAAGTTTATTTGCGGCAAACTTTATCTCAAACGAACTCAATTTGTGGGAAACCTATTCAACCCAATGTCTGCAAACTTGGAGTTTAATGAACCCCAAACTGTCTGTCCATTCAATGAGTTTGTATATGATATGAGTAGTGAAAGGGTTATTGATAAAGATTTTGATGTAATCATTGGTTTATATAATCATTTGGAGACTTAAATTAAACATAAATCTAGTTGTCTTTAGTACTAAATGCAATACAATAGACATCGGCTTATACTGTATAATACGATAGTCTGGATATAATGGGGACGTAATGACAAGAAAACCCCTGAATGTAAAGATTGCATAACATTTGGAAATGCGTGCAAAACCCCCAAACATTTAATGGTGTTTTGCAAACACTGATTGTCTGTCTGTTTGTCTGTTTGTGATCTCAAATCAAGTGTTCATTTAGCCATTGATTGAGTGATTGGTGAGGAATGGCTGTTAATACCGGTCGTCCCATCACAGAGTTTGCCGCTTACCTCAAGAGGGACCTGACGTCCCACACGAGACGCGTCCAGAATCTGTTCAAAAGGATTTCCCGCAACGAGGAGTCGTGGCTCGAAGACAGGTCCAGACACTTGCAGACACTTGTTTGCCATTCATTAGCTCTCAATTGATAACAATGTGTTGCCATTCAGACACGACATCCGCTATAAGCTGACTCTAGTGAGGGCTGAGTTCGAGAAGCATCGGCACGTGAAGGACATGCGAGTGGCGAAGGCCTTACTCGAAGAGGGCGAGCGCCACCTATTCCTCAACATTCATCCGCAGCCCAAGAAATTCACGTTCAGTCCGGGGGGCGTGTGCTTCGAGCGCTACCACGACTACCCCGACTGGCACGCGGACTACTGGCACCCTCTCGAGAAGGCTCGGTATCCCTATTACTTCGCCAAACGAGAGCTCCGGAAGAAGCAATTCATCCAATTGTGGGAAAAGGGAAACCACAACACGACAGGTGATGACGGACACACCGCTCACCACTGAAACCGCACTCTCGACCACTGGTCCTCTTTTGTTGAATCTTTTAATTTAGTTTTGGTTTCAAAATTAAAACAAATGTTTAGAAATTAAATAAAATGTAGATATTATTGGATTTAGTGATTAAACTATTCATAC